GGAGGTCGGGCTGGTAACATCCCGAGGCGGCGGAGAGGAGAAGAGCGCGCCGCAGCGTGCATTCAGTGTCTTGGGTTGCGCGCAAATGAGTGCATTGGTATTGCGCAGATTTTTGAATGGCTGGTAGACAGTGGCGTAAGAGAACCCGTGTGATGACCACTCGCATCCACCTCGGTCGCGTGGCCAACCAGTGCGCGTCGTGTAGTGGGATTTTTTGCCGCATCGATCATATATACCAAGCCCTGGAAGGCACTGATGAGACGACAGTTTTTTTGGCAAAAATCGCGGGGTACTACCATTGGAGGTTGTGCTCCCAGATGTCGGCAGCAGTAGGCGCCGGCGCTGCTCCATTGTTTTTACAAGGATATGACAAAGCTGCTCGTGTAATCCACCCACCCAAACCCACAGTACAAGTTCGCGTTCTGATCTTGAATGTTGTGTCGGCTCGCCTGTTCAATTTGGCTTCGGGGCGGCCCGTTGATACCTCGAGCCCTCCCAGATGCAAAACGTAGTGACGCGATCGCCCGTGATAGAAGCTTCAGAGATGTTGGGCAACTCCTGAGGCTGATGCCGCTCCGCCATCAATTGGGGGCAGGGGGAATTCCGAATTCTAACCGCATATAAGTCAGTGCCACCGCGTGTCTCTTCTTAGCTGCCATATGTTTTATCGCTCCGCGGTAAACCGTCAACCTTGGTTACCGCCGGGAACTCGTAGAGCTTCCGTGCCATGCATGTGAATGACATGCGAGCGTGGTAATCTCGCATTCAGAGCTCACCCCGGCGGCCCATGCTGTCTCACCGCTGTCGTTTGCCCGAGTGCTCGTTGTGAAAGAGCTCTTTCTGTCGTCGTTTGTAGGGCCCCCTCGCGCGTTCGACCGCGGGGGGGGCCTCCCTAAAATGACTCCGGGCTCCGAACCCTGGGGCGGGCCCCCCCCCCGAAAACTGGGGGTTGCTGCCTCCCCCCCTGGGGAGGGGGCCAAAAAGGGCCCCCCCCCTCTCCTCTCGCTAGAATCCCGAGGTCCGACGACGACGATGGTAACGACGACGACGATGATGACGACGACGATGACGACGAGGGGAGCCAGCAAGCGCACGCGACGGCGACGACGATGGCGACATGGGGTCAGAGCGATAGCGGTTTCCGACGGGCCAGCCGAGCCCCCTGCGCGCGCCTCAGGAGTGCGCCGAGCCGCGTGCGGCCCGGGGCCGAGCCGAGCCCGTGGGAGCTGCTCGGGCAGCGCGCCGCACGCCGCCGCCGCCGCCAGTCGTGGCTGTTCCCGTCGTCCCCGCCGCCAACGCCGCCGCTTTCGTCGTCGTCGTCTTCGTCGTCGTCGTCGTCGTCGTCGTCGTGGTGGATCAGGGTCAGTAAAACGGGGGCGGAGGGAGAGATGGAGGAGGAGGAGGAACAGGAGGACGAGGAGGAGGAGAAGGAGGAGGAGGAGGGGGAGGAGGAGGGGGAGGGGGAAAAAGAGGAGGAGGAGCAGGAGGAGGAGGAGGAGGAGCAGGAGGAGGAGGAACAGTACTACGAGTAGTCATATGAAGTATAAGATGAATGATACATGTAGCAGCACACGTGAATAATGCTGATACTATTACTTAATACGACGTATGTCAATCATTCTACTAGCAATAGATAAGGAACATTATCCTACCCTACTAATTTGTCCGTTGTCCCCCCTAATTCCTATGCGCCCCTAATTCCTATGGTTATGCCTATGCCTCCCGCCTACCTCTTTTGCCTACGCCTATGCCTATGCCTATGCCTGCTTGCTTGCTTGCTTGCCTGCGCGCTTGCACGGTTGCTTGCTTGCGCGCTTGCGCGCTTGCGCGCTTGCTGGCACGCATGCTTGCTTGCTGAGTTGTGGATTCCAAGCATACTTGATTCCTCTGATTCCTTGGTTTGAGTCGTCGAATATATTTGGAGTCAACGCTGGCTGATATTTAGAAACACAGCAATAATGCGACGAATGCTATTAGTACTATGATTTACGTAAACAGAGTGAAAACTGAAGCATACTATTTCGCTGGCCCAACGCGCCAGAGGCGTACTATTTCTAGTTCGCGTGCGCGGGGCGGCCCCTGGGGACCCCCGGACGAAAAGTACCCCGGCTGATCCCCGGCCGGGTCCCGGGCGATCCCCAGGGGCGAGGCTATTTTTCGCCACCCCTCACGAGGATCGTGGCCTCCGAGGGGGGGGCTCCAAGAAGACGACTAAAACGAATAAAACAAACCGTGCTACTCAGACGAAGCATGATCATAATATTACGGTCATCCACATTAATAGTAATCGTACTACCCAGCAGAATCTGGATACTATCGATACTAAGAGGACAAATAGTATTCCGAAGAAGAAACGGCGTGGTACCACTCTCAATACTAATAAGAAGCGACGAATCATGAGAGTACTACCAATATTAATCGTACAACTACTAGTAGTAGCAACGCTAATCATAAGACACATGTTTTTCAACATGAGACTAATAATATGAAGAAGACAATTTCTGATACTACACATGCTATTGATACTACCATTCGTAGTACTAGTAATGCCACTACTACTCATAATACTAATACTCGTAATACGATGTGCGAGAGGAGGAATAATGCTAACTACTAGCAAACAATATGAATACAGCAAACATTTCATAAGACGACTAAGTGTAATCGAACACTTGGCATTCGGCTATCCGGACTAACACGCATCAGGCTAATATTATTATGGGCATTACAATACATTTCACTAATGCAATCAGTAATTCCATGATGCTAGTAACACTGATAGCGCATCGTCATGCTAATACGAGTACGGGACATAACACTACGAATACTCATGATACCAATACAACTAATCGTACTAACACCTCTCATAGTATGACGAAGCAATGTAATAATACGCCACATACCAGGAATAATAAGCATACTCATGCTAGTACTACGAACAAGAACGCTAGTCAGACTGATACAAGAGGATGATGACGACACGAAGGATGAGGATGAGGATGAGGATGAGGATGAGGAGGAGGAGGAAGAGGAGGGGGAGGACGGGGAAGAGGGAGGAGGTGGAGGTGGAGGAGAAGGGAGGAGGAGGCGGAGGAGGAGGATGAGGAGGAGGGAGGCGGAGGAGGAGGAGGAGGAGGAGGCGGAGGAGGGGAGGAGGGAGGAGGAGGGAGGGAGGTGGAGGAGGAGGAGGAGGAGGAGGAGGAGGAGGAGGAGGAGGAGGAGGAGGAGGAGCGAGGAGGAGGAGGAGAGGATGAGGCGGAGGAGGAGGGGAGGAGGTGGAGGAGGAGGAGGAGGAGGAGGAGGAGGAGGGGAGGAGGAGGAGGGGAGGCGGGGGCGGGAGGCGGAGGCGGAGGAGAGGAGGTGGAGGAGGAGGAGGAGGAGGAGGAGGAGGAGGAGAGGAGGGGAGGGGAGGGAGGGAGGGTGGAGGGAGGAGGGAGGGAGGGAGGACGGGAGGAAGTGGAGGAAGGGAGGAAGAAGGGAGGAAGGGGGAAAGGGGGGAAGGGAGGAAGGGAGGAAGGGAGGAGGGGGAAGGGAGGAAGGGAGGGAAGGGAGGAAGGGAGGGACGGGATGAGGAGGAGGAGGAGGAGGAGGAGGAAGAGGAGGAGGAGGAGGAGGAGGAGGAGGAGGAGGAGGATGAGGAGGATGAGGAGGAGGAGAAGGATGATGAGGAGGAGGAGGAGGAATACGAAGAATAAGACGAATAAGCATAATAAGAATAATAATAATAATAATAAGAAGAATAATAATAAGAAGAATAAGAAGAATACTACGAATACGAATGATAATAATAATAAGCAGAATACGAATAAAACTAATAACAAGAAGAATGCGAATAATAATACTAAGAAGAATAAGAAGAATACGACGAATAATAATAAGAATAAGAAGAAGACGAACACTACGAATAATAATACGAAGACTAATAATGAGAAGAAGAATAAGAAGACGAATGAGACTACGAATTATACTAATATTACGAAGAAGAATACTAATCATAATAATAATATCAAGAATAATACTAATAAGATGAAGGAGCATACTAATAATAATAAGAAGAAGAATACTACTACGAATAATAATAATACTACTAAGAATATTAATAAGAAGAAGAAGAATAATAGTAAGAACAATAATAAGCATACTAAGAATAATCATAAGAAGAATACGAATACTAACAATGATAACAATACTAATAAGAAGAAGACCACGACGACGAATAATAAGAAGGAGGCGACGACGAAGAAGAATAATAATAAGATGAGGAGGAGGATGAGGAGGAGGAGGAGGAGGAGGAGGGGGATGAGGGGGAGGAGGAAGGAGGAGGAGGAGGAGAGAGAGCGGAAGGATGGGGAGGGGGAGGGGGAGGGGAGGGGGGGGGGAGGGGGAGGGGGGAGGGGGAGGAGGGTGGAGGAAGGGAGGAGGAGGAGGGAGGATGATGAGAGGAGGAGGAGGGGAGGAGGAGGAGGAGGAGGATGAGGAGGAGGAGGAGGAGGAGGAGGGGAGAAGAGTAGGGGGAGGAGTCGGCGGAGGATGAGGAGGCGAGAGGAGGAGGAGGAGGAGGAGGAGGAGGAGGCGGAGGAGGCGGAGGCGGAGGCGGAGGCGGAGGCGGCGGCGGGGTCGTCGGAGGAGGAGGAGGAGGCGGAGGAGGAGGAGGAGGATGAGGGGGAGGAGGAGGAAGAGAAATAATAATTAGAAGGCGACAAAGACGACGAATACGACTAATAATAGTAAGAATCATAAGCATAAGCATACGCAGACCAATGCGAATACTAATCAGAAGACGTCGCATAATCATAATAAGGAGAAGCAGGCGGCGAATCATAATGCGACGACGAAGACGAACCAGAACAATAAGAGGAAACAGAGGAGGAGGAGGAGGAGGAGGAGGAGGAGGAGGAAGAGAATGAGGAGGAGGAGGAGGGAATATTGGGGAATCTGCGCGATTATCAGTGTTCATCATGTGTAATGCCCACCTTGAAGATGTTTTCAGCGGTAGTCAGAGTCATACGCATTTTTTTGATTGTTGAATGACAGTGGCCACCGTTAGTCATACAACACCTGCGATGATCCGACCAGCTCGCGAGGGGTGCCCCCTCCTCTCCTCCCCTTCACCGTCCTGATCCGCCTGGCCCCTTCTCAACCCCCCTCTCCGCCCCCCCCACGCCCTCGTCCCCGTCCTGTCCCCAACCCTCCCCTGCCCTACCTGGAGCGCCCTCATCGGCGGGTCTGGGGGACGCGACCTGCCCTGACGGCGGCGGCGACAGCATGGTCACGATTCAGCTGCTCACGAACACGAAGCTTTGTTGCCTCCAGCTTGTGACTCCCCTCCCTACCCTCCGAGGCCCTGCCCCCTCTTCAGGGGCAACGCTGGGGAAGGATAGTCAGGCTCGGGAACGGATTCAAGGACATACCCCCAATCGCCTATTCGTCGCCGATGAGGGGCTTCATCGCCCCACCCCGCCGAGGAATATGCGGATTTGCACAGTTTTCGGGTCGTAACTCGGGCCTGCTGCAACTTTTCTGGACGATCCGGGCAGCCCCGGAACGCTCGAGACGCAGCTGCTGAAATGCATCCCGAGGCAGGAAAGCCTCCAGAAACGTATGAAACCTTTGGATACCTGTCCTCCAGGTCGATGTTTCCCCCCTCGCTGAGCTGCCCTCCCCCCCCCTATAGTTGCCCCTCAACCCCCTCTCCTCCGAGATCTCTCCCCTGTATGCCTGCACATCCTCCCCCCTCGTGGGCCTCTTTCGCTCCAGTTTCCCCGATGGGGCCGCCCAGCACCAGGCCCCTCTGGTGCTGCGTCGCGCAGTACGGCAGCGTGGGCCAGTGCGGCGCGCTGCTGCAGGCGCGGTCTCGCTGTGCCCACGTCGGTGTGCACCTGTCTCGAAGATCGAAGAATGGCACAAGCGTCATTTCTCGGAGGTCTGGCGGCGCCTCCAGCGCCGCCGCTGGCGCGCGATCCAAGAAGTCTGCGCGGACCTCCACGAAATTATGTCACTGCAGTTCTTGGTTCCTCCAGGTTCGTCGTCGCGCCAGAGAGGGGTCCTGGTCTAGCCCACATGTCCGACGGTGTGTTTTTTTCCCAATCGGTGCTTTTCCTTGGTTTCGGTCGTCGGGGCCATCAGCTGCCTCCAGGAAGGGGGTCGAGAGCCCTGGGGCCGCGGATTCAACACAATCATGCCGGCGGATGTCTGGGTCGGCGGCGGGCCCAGGAAGGCAGAGATGGCGGGCCTTCTCGGACGGCTCAGAAGGTTTGTGGCCTTGTGAGGACCTTTCTGAGCCTCTCTGAAGCCACGTAGAGCTTCCCAGTATCCTTTAAACGATCCCCATCCCCATCTCCATCCCCTTCGAGACCACCACCAAATTACCCCCCCCCCCCCCCCCAGTTGGTAGGGGGGCCACTCGGCCAGTGGTGCCCAGGCCACGCCGCGGATGGGGATCGGTTGAACGATACTCATTTCTGAAGCCACGGAGAGCTTCTCTGGAGGCCAGAGGGCTTTCGAGACGCCCCGCCGCCTCCTGAGAAGGCTTGCTCTTTCACTTCCCCCTGGGAGAGCCGCCGACACTTCGTCGACTCGGGGTTTGTACCTTGGGCAGCGGACGGGCGACGACGACGGCGGTGGTGATGGCGATCGCGCTGTAACGACTGCGACGGCGGTGGTGTGGTGAAGCTGTCCGCGCTGTGGTCGGGAGTCCTCGCGCGGTGCGTCGGCGAGAGCACGGCACAGTTGGACGGACATGCTCCGATGTCCGCGCGGACTTCTCGGGCCGGCACTGGGCCTTCTTCCCCGCACCCCTTCCCTGGCGCGCTGGGCGCGCGCGGGCGGCGGCGCCAGAGGCGCTGCCAGGAGCGGGAGTGTCAGGAGGAGGCTCCAGAAAATCGTGCGGATCTCCGCGAGTTTGTGCTTACGGATCTCCTGGTCCGCCTCTCTACAACGTGAAGGAATGGAGGAAAGGATACGGAAGAGGTGCAGCGCGTCCCACAAAGAGCCCACTCCGCAATCTGCAGATGGCGAAGGATGCTTGCGAGGGCTTCCGCACGGTTCGCCCCTGGCTGCTGCACGATTCACCATGGAGACTTATCGCCTGCAAAGCGCGCCTGGCTGCCGGCTGCAGGGATATTCCCTCTTCGCCCCTCCCGCCGGCCATGTCTTCTGCGCCTGACCCCGTGGGCCCTCACACTCGAGGTCGCCGTCGCCGTCCTCGCCGCCGTCCTCGACATTTGGACGCTTTGGGTTCTTCTGTCGAGGAAGAAGTACAGCCTGAGCGCTTTTCGAGTCAAGGTGGCTCCTAAGAGTGTTCGCGCGTTCTCCTGCTTCTGATCCGCCTGCGCCTTCCGCGTCGTCGTCGAGCTTTTCGTGATCGTCGTCGATGTCATCCTCCACCCCCGCATCCACGTAATTCTCCTTATCGCCCTCGCCTTCCCCCTTCCACTACACCTCCTCCTCACCCCCCTTAGATCTTCCTCCCGCTCCTCCTCCTAGTCATCCTCCTCAGTCTGATCCTCCTGGTCCTCCTCCCCCTCCTCTTCCTCCTTGTCTTCTCCTCCTCCTCCTCCTCCTCCTCCTCCTCTCCCTCTCCTCTCCTACTGTATATCCTCATCTCACTCCTCGTCCCCCGTCTCATATGAAAGCTTCATGCTCCTGGTGTTCTTCCTCCTCGTCGTTTTTTTGTTGTTATTCTTCTTCTTCATCTTCTCCTCCTCCTCCTCCTCCTCTTCATCTTCTATCTCGTCATCGACCTCCTCCTTTCTCTTTCTGCTCCTCCTCCTGCCCTGCTCGCCGTGCCCCTTTTTGTATTCCTCGTACTCCTTCTCGTGTTCCTCGTACTCCTCCGCTTCGCACTGCTCCTCCTCCTCCTCCTCCTCCTCCGGCTCCTCCTCCGGCTTCTCCTCGCAATGCTCCTCCTCTCCTCCTCCTCCTCCTTCTCCTCCTCGCATTCCTCCTCCTGCTCCTCCTCCCCGTCCTCCCCGTCCTCTCCGTCCTTTTCCTTGTCCTCCTCCTCCTCTTCCTCCTGCTCCTGCTCCTCCTGTTTCTTCTGCTCCTCCTCTTCCTCCTCTTCCTCCTCCTCCTCTTTCCCTTCCTTTCCCAGCTTCCTCCGCCATGCCAGAGATGCCTTTGCATTCTCGACGCCGCTTCCAGGAGGCACCCTCATCAGAGATGTTCTCAAACAGGTAGCGTTTGAGCCTGGCCCCGTCTCCGTCCTTGATAATTCCTCTCGCGTAGCATCTCGGAGCTCTTTTCTCCTCACGTTCTCCTCCTCCTTCATCTTGCATCCTCCCTGATCTCCGCGCTCCCGCTCGAGGCATCTTCACGATTTGCTCCAGCATGGCTCCCCCCGTCTCAGCTTTTGCCACTTACCAGGGAATGAATCGAGATCGCGCCTGGGCGCCGGCTACTTCCTCCGTCGGGCCAGGGGCGCCCAGATCTTTCCCAGAACACTATTCGACAAGAAGAGAGGAATCAAATGGTTCGCTTGGGTCTTACCCCTCCTTGCTTGTCTCTTCCCCTTCTCGCAGCCCAGAGTTTGGAGGATGTCTTAGGCGAGACGGGCCAGACCACCTCTGACAAAGCATCCTGGAGCCCAGAATTGCGAGGGTGTCTCAAGCGAGACGCGCCAGACGATCTCGCGCACATCTTCTGAGAGCCCAGAGTTGCGAGGATGTTTCAGGCGAGACGAGCTGGACCACCTCGCGCACATCTTCGATGAGCCCGGACTTGCTAGGATGTTTCAGGCGAAACGGGCTGGACCACTTCGCGCGCAGCATGCCAGACCCCCGAACTGCGAGGATGTCTCAGGCGAAACGGGCTGGACCACCGGCAGTCTTCAGCTCCAAAAACTCTTGCTTCAGGCTGGTGCTCTCCAGGCTCAGCAAGGTGAGGTGTCCTCGGATCTGCTCGCGCTCCAGCCTCCTCCCAGGTCAGTTCCAGCTCCCGCAGTCTCTGAGTGCCGCGGCCCAAATTTTGAGGCGGGATTCTACTCCCAAGGTGTGGTCGGCCTTCTGCTCGCCCTCTTCCCTCGTGCCGTTCAGTCCCAGCGTTGCGGTTCTGAGTTCAAGGCGCGCGCGCCTCAAGCTTCCAATGTTATTTTCGGCACTCAGCCAGAACACCTCTTGCTTCAGGCTTGTGTGCTCCTGGCCTGGCGCCTTGAAACGCCCCTCGACCTCCAAGAGCTGCGTGGCCATATGCTCGCACTCCTCCCTCTTCTCACCCAGCGCCAGCTTCACGGTCTCGAGGTCCAGGCACGTGCGCGTCAAGTTTTTGACCAGCTGGTTCTCGCCAGTTTTCAGCTCGAACACCTCCTGCTTCAGGCAGGCATGCGCTTGGCCCAGCGCGGTGAGGTGTCGCCAGGCTTCCAAAAGTTGTCTAGTCTTCTGCTCGAACTCCTCCGTATTCTCGTTCAGCGCCACAGCAGGAGGAGGGTGATGATGATGAGGAGGAGGAGAAACAAGAGGAGGAGGAGAAGGAGGAGGAAGAGAAGGAGGAGGAGGACGACGAGGAGGAGGAGGAGGACGAGGAAGAAGAGGAGCAGGAATAGGAAAAGGAATTGGACCAGGACGAGCAGGAGGACGAGGAGGACGAGGAGGAGGAGGAGGTGGAGGAGGAGCACGAGGAAGGGGAGGAGGACCTGTTTAAACCCAAGACGCATCAACGATGTTGCAATACACCCTCCCTCCGAGTTTCCATTTCATAGGTGCATGCAAGGGTTTATTTTCACCGAGGGAAGTGCACCGTTGAAAGACAACATTCTTGAAATCCTGAACCGTGCCAGAACACCACCCATGGGACTTCAACGCCGCGAATCAACGATACTGTTGCGTCCAGGCGATCCAGTCACGTGCCAAAACATTGTTCCTGGGTCGGTAGCACCGCAAATCAACGTAACCGTTGCGCCCTGACGGTTTTTCATCGTGCCAGAACATCAGTTCTGGGATGTGGGATGTGAGGCATGGGAGTCCTTAGGTTGTGAACTTTTAAGACGCATGTGCGCAGACCTTACGGCGAGAGTCACATCTTGAACATTACCCGCTCTCCATCCGTGGAGCACATGCACACTTTTGAAACGAACACGTGCGGCGCTAAGGCGACATTCACATGTTGAAAACGACCCGCCCTCCATGCTTGAAACTCATGCAGGCTTTTTAGACGAACGTGCGCGGCGCTAGGGCGAGAGCCGCACTTTGGAAACGGCCCGCCCTCAATCCATGAAACCACTGCATTGTGTTGAGACGAATGTGCGCGGCGCTGGGGCGAGAGCCACATTTTGAAAACCACCCGCCCTCCATCCGTGAAGCACTTGCAACTTTTAAGCTGAGGGATCACAGCTGGTAAGGAGGTCTCAGGCGAAACGTCCTGCCCGCCCTACCGACACGTCTCGAGGTGCGACAGGGAGGAGTTATCTATCATAATATGCGATGGAGGAGGCAGATAATGATGATGACGATGATGATGACGATGCCGAGACTGATGCTGATGATGATGCTGAGGAGTATAATGACGAGGTAGTTCTTTACGCGTCGCGTATCCCCACCAGCCCATCTCACAACAGCAACTCACGCGAAGCATGGCGACAGTCGTGTTTTTCAGGTGTGTGTCCGTTTGGCCCCGCATATCTCCCCTGTTCCTCCTTCCTCCCGCCTCCTTGTACATCCTCCTTGTGGGGGGAGCGGGAGAAGGACGAGGCGGAGGAGGAGGGAGAGAACGCGCTCCTCGTGATTTGAGTCGTTTGGGGTTTCTCGTCCTGGTGTGAGTCGTTCGGGCCCTTCTTCCTGGTGTGAGTCGTTCGGGCTCTTCGTGGTGTGAGTCGTTCGGGCTCTTCGTCCTGGTGTGAGTCGTTCGGGCTTCTCGTGGTGTGAGTTGTTCGGGCCCCTCATCCTGGTGTGAGTCGTTCGGGCCCCTCCTCCTGGTGTGACTCGTTCGGGCTCCTCGTGGTGTGAGTCGTTCGGGGCCCGCGTCGTGGTGTGAGTCGTTCGGGCTCCTCGTGGTGTGAGTCGTTCGGGCGCCTCGTCCTGGTGTGAGTCGTTCGGGCCCCTCTTGTGGTGTGAGTCGTTCGGGCTCTTCGTGGTGTGAGTCGTTCGGGCCCCTCGTCCTGGTGTGAGTCGTTCGGGCTCCTCGTGGGGCCTCTTGGGGGCCTCTTGGAGCCTCTTGGGGCCTCTTGGGGGCCTCTTGGGGGCCTCTTGGGGGCCTCTTGGGGCCTCTTGGGGGCCTCTTGGGGGCCTCTTGGGGGCCTCTTGGGGGCCTCTTGGGGCCTCTTGGGGGCCTCTTGGGGGCCTCTTGGAGGCCTCTTGGGAGGCTCCTGGGGGCCTCTTGGGGCCATCTTGGGGCCTCTTGCGACCTCCTCAGAAGCGCAAAGAAGCGCTGCCCCCTGAGAAGGACAAACTGAGCCCAAAACCTTTGTAAAATCAATGATTTTGCTATGAAGGAAGATGGGCGCGGCCCCCTTCGGGAGGCCAAAATGGGGCCAAAACCATCGTAAAAACAAGGATGTTGGCTTCACAGAAGAGGAGAGGTTTTTTTTCTGGCCCCCCCCGACGGGGCCAGAATCCTCGTGAGGGTCGTCGTTTTTTTGGCCCTCCCAGGAGTCGAAGAAGACCCCTCCAACCACCCGCGGGACGCCCTCTCCAGGCCCAGGGGGAGGGGGTAGGGGGCCTCCCCGAAGGGGAAGAAAGGGGGTTGAGGACAGAGGGGGCTCTCTAAACCACTCACGCCCTAAAGGGCTGGTGGGATTATGATGATGCTGCTGATGATGATGATGCTGATGGTGATGCAGATGACGATATTGATGATGCTGCTGCTGATACTGATGCTGAGGATGATGATGCTGATTTTGATGATGCTGCTGCTGCTGATGATGATGATGACGATGCTGCTGCTGATGGTGCTTATGATGCTGCCGATGCTGATGATGGTGATGCTGACGACGATGACGATGCCGACCGCGACGATGACGACGATGATGTTGCTGATGACGATGATGATGTTGCTGATGATGATGCTGCTGATTTTGATGACGATGCTGCTGATGATGCTGATGGTGATGATGATGTTGATGACGATGCTGATGACTGTTGTGCTGATGATGACGACGACTACGATGATGATGAACCTGATGCTGATTATGACGATGAGGCTGCTGATGATGATATGGCGATGCTGCTGCTGATGCTGCTGATGGTGATGATGCTGATGAGTCTGATGATGCTGATGATGATGGTCTTGATGACGTCGACGAGTATGCTTATGATGCTGCTGCTTATGATGACGATGCTGCTGATGATGATGCTGCTGATTACAAGAATGATGCTGATCATGCTGATGCTGACCAGGATGCTGATGATGCTGCTGTTGATGATTTGGCCAGTGATGATGCTGATGCTGATGATGATGCTGCTGCTGATGATGATGATGGTGCTGATGTTGATTATGATGATGAGGTTGATGATTATAACGATGATGACGATCATTATGCTGATGAGGATGACGATGCTGGTTGTGATGTTGATGATGCGGTTGCTGCTGCTGAGGAGGATGATGCTGATGCCAAGGTTGCTGACGATGATGATGCTGAGGATGATGATGGTGATATTGACGATGATGATGCTGCTGCTGCTGCTGATGATGATGATGATGATGATGATGATGATGAGGATGATGAGGATGATGAGGATGATGAGGATGATGATGATGATGATGATGATGATGATGATGATGATGACGTTCCGCTCCTGTTGCTGCCGCTGATGATGAGAAGGAGGAGGAGGAGGAGGAGGAGGAGGAGGAGGAGGAGGAGGGGGAGGAGGAGGAGGAGGAGGAGGAGAAGGAAAAGGATGAGGATGAGGAGGAGGAGGAGGAGGAGAAGGAGGAGGAGGAGTGGGAGGAAGAGGAGGGGAGGAGGAGACGAGGAGGAGGAGGGGGGGAGGAGGAAGAGGACCAGTGGAGACCCAAAACTCATCAACGACGTTGGAATTAACCCTCCCTGCATGCACTCTTCATACGTAGCCCCCTATAACGGTTCATTTCCATTGAGGGAACTGCTTGTTTCACAGGCCTGGTTCATTTCCATCTGGCTCAAGGCAAAGGCTCACGCGTTCCCTGGAGGGTCACCCTAAAATCCGCCCCGTTTTAGGGTGACCCTTCAAGCCGGGCCCGCCGCGCCGCCCGCTAGCAGCAATGGCCATCAACAAGATCGGTGACCAGTTGAAGTCCTACCTCGCTGGCCTGCTCACGGCGTACGCGAGCTCGCCCGCTGCCAAGCAGGCCAAGAAGGCAGGTGCGTCCGAGGCAGCGGATGCGGGAAAGCGCCACGCCAGCCCGTCGGCCATCCCCTTCGAGAAGCCGCAGGCCAAGTGGTTACAGACCGCACTGGGCGACACTTTCGCGGTTTTCGGTGAGCACATCGAGGAGCGCTTCGTGGGCATCGAGCAGAGCGTGGCCTCCATGTCGGCGCAGGTCCAGGACCACGAGGGGAAGATCGAGGAGGCCCTGAAGCTGAAGGAGACGGTGGAGAATCTCCAGGCAGAGCTACAGACCCTCAAGGACGCGCACCACGGCATGGCAGACGGACTGGCTGCACCGGCTGCGGGAGGGGCGCACGACGAGGCACAGATAAGGAAGGAGATGGAGGATTTGAGGAAACAGGTGGAGCAGCAGACCACGAATATGGCTGAGGTCCCTTACGAGATGCGCGGGGTGTGCATCTGCGGTGGCTTGGGTTGGGACACGCCGCCAGAAACTTTACAGGAGAGGTGCTGGCAAGTCCTGCGCGAAGCCGGCTTGGAGGACAAGGTGGAGACCGTCGCGGCCACCCGGGACATTCCTGGCTCCACCTGCGAGGTCGTGCTCCGCGACGCCGGCACGATGGGTCCATCTCGACTCCGGTTGAAGGCCCTCGGCAAGATCTTCGTGGCAAACAAGAAGGTGTGGCTCGACGCGAAGCGTTCACGAGCCGAGAACGCACCGGCCCGCACGAAGCACAAGGCGAAGGAATACCTCGAGGCAGCTGCTACCCAGGACCGTGCCGTGGTGACCCTCACGACGGAGACCAAGTTCAAGCAGATGAAGGCCAATGAGATCGTCATCGGCTATGCCTCGGGTGCTGCATGGGCGTGGACACCAGCGGCAACCCAATTCTATGCCGAGGAGGTGTTGGGGGTTGTCGCAGCCTACGCCAGCCATTCGTGACTAGGGGACTTGTGCTGCGCGTCGTTTAACGCGGCACGGCAGCTCAGCGCAGATGTTGCGTTGGAGGCATTAATTTATGAGCTCGAGGTCGAATGGCCGCGTTGGACTATTGAATTTTTGGCCGAGAGCGACGCCCACTACAATTCAAGTTTCTCTTTGGGGCAGGCGACGCGTCAGCGCTACATGCGGCGCTGGCCGGGCCCGGATTCTACGCCTTTCACAGCGCTCGTTCGTGATGCGTGGACGCCACATTTGAAGGCCCTCAAGGCGCCGGGGCGCTGTTGCAGGGCGGATTTCAACATCGGCAAGGGTGCTGCCGTCTCGATCGCCATGGTGCACGGGGGGCACGGTGACGAGCTTCTTCCTAGCATCGCGGATGCAACCGCTCTGGCCAATGCACGTCCCAGACGAAATTGCCTCATGCTCATCGGCGACATGAACGTCGATCTTTTACCCACTCCCCCCGCAGATCCCCGCGCTGGCTCGCCACGCGGGAGCCGCAGACACCAGGGGGATCGGAAGCACCTCCACAGCTTTCTGGACACATGCAAGATACGATGTAAGCTGCGCGACATCGATTCTTTCACTGGGAACTTTCCCGCCTCGCCCACGCACTCCCGTGCAGCATCGATGACGCGAATGCCCCCGCCAGGAACGACAGCGCAGCCGTCCCTGATTGGCCGTGTCGCTTCGGATGGATGCGTTCGTGCCGTCCGCGGATGCCGGGCAGATTCCTATTCGGGCCATGCGGCAATCGCTGCCGTCGCAGACGTCGGCCTGGCGACGCGGGCGATCGCGGGCCCCTCGACGTGGAGATGCCGGGGCGGCCAGGCCGCCGTCGCGCGGGCGAAGACGCGCGCGCCTCAGACCTTCCAGAACACCGCTGACCTCATGGCCTGGGTCGCCCAGATCCAGCGCGAGAGCGCCGACAGCCGTGCATGCGCAGCCCGCCGGGGCGCCGGGGAACCTCCGGCGGTCAAGGAGCTACGACGCCGCGCCAGGGCGGCCACAGACAGGCGCCAGCAGCAATGGCTTCGGAGGGAACTGCATACAGCCCGCGTCGCTTGGCTCACCGCGCTTCGACAGATCCGCCAAGCGCAACGACGGAACGCAGGCAGGGTGAACTGGAAGTCCAAGAAGTTCCTACCGCTCCGAGCCATGCAATCACCAGGCGGAGGTGGGGCCGTCGACCACCAGGAGTGGGCTTCCATGATCGAGGCCGAGTTCCGCGCTTTGTGGCGGTGCGGCAACCCGCGCCTCTTGAGCGTGCAGAACGACTTCCTGCGATCATGTGGCAACGCCAGCATGACCTTCCCCAAGAAAGAGCTCGCAGATGCGCTCGCGGGCCTCCGCCATGCAGCGATTATGGACAACGGCGGCATCGCGGTCGCAGCCCCCCAGCTCCTCTACGAGGCCAGGCCGGGCGCCGTGCGCAAGGCTTTCCTCGACCTCGCGAGAAGCCAAGAAGAAATGGGCAGCCTTGTCATCCTGGGCAGGGCGAGGGCAAAGGCGCCCCGGAGCCATCCCGCCCACCAAGGTCCGCACCATACTTCCCTTGCCAGTGGTGCTGGCGGTCTTCGACTACCTCTTGGCAAAGCGCGTGCACGACATCGTCGACAGGTGCGCGGCCCGTGTCTTGCCGGCCGCGTCGATTTCGCCGTGCCTGGAGTGCGCCAAGAGCAGGCGCCAGACGTTAGATGCCGTTCATCCGCTGGCGCTCGTGATCGAGAGAGGCATGGGCGACGAATCCAAGGGCTGCGCCTGTCAGCAGGATATGCGGAAGTACTGCGACGCCCTGCGAGCGGCTCGCGTCGCCAGGTGGCGTCGGGGCGAAACCGGTTCGTCTGGCGAGGCCGCCACCCTGGTGAAGTTGCATGCTTGCCCACTCGTCGTGCTCAGCGTGGGGTCTGCTTTCGCAGCGCTGAGGGCCCGCGCCGTCGGTGTGCGCACTGGCTCCCAGAGCGCCGGCGCAGCCGGGCGCCTCCCTCTGCTGGGCGTGGCGTCTCAGCGCGTGCATTACTGGCAGTCCCTCGGCTTCGAAGGCACAGGGTTAGCATCTTTCGTTGGCGACCTCCTCGCAGCGTCTCGGGATCCGTCCGCCGCCATCCGCATTCAGGGCGATTGCGCGGAGCAGCTCAGTCGGCGCTGGAACGCGCAGATCGGGGAGGACTCCCGGGAATACCTCATTTGCAAGGGCGGGCGCGACAACGCATATATAGTCTCGCCGCACAGCTGGGACAAGAAGGAGTGCATGAAGACGCTGGGCCACATAATTGACAACGGTTGTGGCATCACCTCGTGCTACGCGGCGGCCGCGGCGGCGATGCTCCGAGCGCTCTTCGGCAATCTGCGCCGGGCAAACAAGGGTGCGAAGCTCCGGCTCCTGACCAGCGGCGTATTGAGCATAGCTAAGTACTGATTCTCGCGGTGGTCTTGCCAGAGAACGCACGCCAGCAGCCTCGACCGCCTGCAGCGCAAGCCCCTTGCCATCGCCTTCGACGTCCGGCCGGCGCCGAACGAGGATTGGGGCGCCTTCGTGTTACGGCGCCGCGCGATCGCCCAGTCTCTGGCCGCGCGGGCCGGGCGTTGGAGCCAGGCGCGGGCGAAGGCGCCCGTGTCGCGGGGCGCCCGCGTCCGCCGCGGGCGCGACGTGCAGGCTTGGGCGCCGCGCGTGCTCGGCTATCGCGGCGCGGAGTGGCTGAGCTGGCAGCGCCTGATCGCATCTCGCGGGCAGGGGTCGCGGTTGGGAACCCGGCGAGTCCGGGGCAGACCCCAGCCCCGGCGGGAAGAGACGTTGCCAGAGGCAAGACGGGCGGTAGCTAGTGCACCCTAGGTGATCGGAAGCCAAAGTAGATCAGAGTCACCAGGGGCCCGAAAGAAAGAAAAAAGGAATTGCCTGGTTGGAAGACAACAGTTTGAGGAACCTGAAGCGTTCCAAAATATTGTTCTCGGGATTTCAACGCCGCGTATCAACCTGACAGCTGCGTTGTGACGATCCAGAATCGTGCTCAGAACGTTTTTTTTTTTTTTTTTTTTTTTTTTTTTTTTTTTTTTTTTTTTTTTTTTTTTTTTTTTTTTTTTTTTTTTTAGGAATCAACGTAACAATTGCATCCACGTAACCCTGAATCGTTCCAGCGCGCTGTTTGGAACGTTGACCATGGGTATCCGTGAAACTCGTGCAACTAAAAAACGACGAATGTGCGCGGCGCCAACGCGAGAGCCACATTTTGAAATCGACCCGCCCTCAATCCGTGAAGCTCTTGCACAGTTTGAAAACGAATGTGCGCGGCGGTAAGGCGAGAGCCACATCTTGAAAACCACCCGCCCTCAATCCGTGAAGCTCTTGCAAAGTTTGAAAAGGAATGTGCGCTGCGCTGAGGCGATAGCCAGATTTTGAAAACCACCCGCCCTCAATCCGTGAAGCTCTTGCACAGTTTGAAAACAAATATGCGCGGCGGTAAGGCGAGAGCCCATTTTGAAAACCACCCGCCCTCAATCCATGAAGCTCTTGCATTTTTTAAATTGGAATGTGCGCTGCGCTAAGGCGATAACCACATTTTGAAGGCGACCCGCCCTCCATCGGTGAAGCTCTTGCAGGTTAAAAAACGAAGTGAATGTGCGCGGCGGTACGGCGAGAGGCACATTTTGCAAACCACCCGCCCTCAACCCGCGAAGCTCTTGCAACCTCTTAAAACGAATGTGCGCGGCGCTAAAGCGAGAGCCGCATTTTGAAAGCTATCCTCCCTCAATCCGTAAAACTTGTGCGAGTTTAACAGGCGAGTGTGCGCGGCGGCAAGGCGGGAACCACATTTTGAAAACTACCCGCCCTCAATCCGTGAAGCTCTTGCAAACTTAAAGAACGAATGTGCGCGGCGCTAAAGCGAGAGCCACATTTTGAAACCGACCCGCCTTCCATTTGTGAAGCCGTTTTCATTTGAAGCTTCAGAGTCTTAAGTGGTTCGGAAGTCTAGGGCGAAACGCCCGACCCGCCCCAAAATCTGGCCTCGGGATGTGACAGGTAGGAGTAATCTGTAAGGAGAAGGAATGGAGGAGGAGGAGGAAGAGGAGGAGGAAAATGAGGGGAGGCGGAGGAGGAGGAGGACGAGTCGGGGGAGGAGGAGGAGGAGGAGGAGGAGGAGGAGGAGGAGGAGGAGGTGTATGAAGAGAAAGAGGAGGGGGTGGGGAAGGAACAGGAGGGTGAGGAGGAGGAGGAGGAGAAGGAAAAGAAAAGGAGAAGGAAAAGAGGAGGAAATGATGATTCTGATTGTGATGATGATGGTGATGGTGGTGATGATGATGATGATGCTGGTGATGATGCTGATGCTGATGATGATGATGCTGAGACTGATGTTGATGATGATGATGATGATGATGATGATGATGATGATGATGATGATGATGATGATGATGGTGATGCTGATGATGATGATGATGATGCTGATGCTGATGCTGATGATGATGATGATGATGATGATGATGATGCTGATGCTGATGCTGATGATGATGATGATGATGAAGAAGAATAATAATATGAATACTAATAATACAAATAATAAGAATAATACGAATAATGGTAAGACGAAAAAGAGGAGGAGGAGGAGGAGGAGGAGGAGGAGGAGGAGGAGGGGGGGGAGGAGGAGGAGGAGGAGGAAAAGTGGGAGGAGGCTACTTGCCAGTGCTCGTCCAACTGGGGTCCCCCACCAGCAGACCCGTGCGCTCCCGCGGCCGTCTGCGTCCCGGCGGTGCTTCCGAGGCGAACGGTTGGATCTGCGAGGTGTTCGGCGAGGCAGGGGGGGGAAACCCAATTCTCCTCTTCCTCCTCCTCTCCTTCCTCCTCCTCCTCTCTTCCTCTCCTTCCTCCTCCTCCTCTCCTCCTCTTCCTTTTCCTCCTCTTTCCCCTCCTCCTTCCCCGTTCTTTCCGCCCCCTCCGCCCCCTACCACCTTTCCCTTCTTCTTCCGCTTCCCCCGCCCCACTTTTTCGCCTCTTTGCCCCTCTCCTCGTTCCCACCTCATTCGGGTCCTCTTCCTCCTCCTCTTCCTCCTTCTCCTCTCCCACCCTCCTGCTCCTCCTCTTCCCTCGCCGCCTCCTGCGAATACGCCTCCTCCTCCGCCCCCGCATCAAGTGATCCCGGCTGGGTTTTGCGATCTTGGCTCGGTTCTGCGCCTCGCCCTGCGGGTAAGCCAGAATGTGCGCATTATGACGGGTGGGCGGGAGGGTGGGGCTCCAGATGCGACGCGTGCGCGCTTGGTTTGCAGTGGCCTCTCTCTCCCCTCCCCCTTCCCTCTTCCATCTTCCCGCCCTCCGCCCATTTTCCAATTCTAATTCGCCCATTCCCCAGTGCCTTCCCCCTGCTTCCCCTCGCTCTCTGCTTCCACCCGCTCCTCACCCCCAGGTTCCCCTCGCCCTCCCTTCCCGTGAGTCTCACCAGTTTTCTCTCGCCCTGCCTTTTCGACAGCGACGCCGCCGACGACGACGACGACGATGACGACGACGACGGCGGCGGCGGCGGCGGCCGCGGCCAGCGGCGGCGGACCGACGACGACGTCGACGACCATGACGACGACGACGACGACGACGACGACGACGACGACGACGACGACGACGACGACGACGACGACGACGGCGACGACGGACCCAAATCGGCTCAACAGCGGAGTCGTCGTAGACGTTGTCGTCGTCGACGTCGTCGTCGTCGCCGTCGCCGCCGCCGCCGCCGTCGTCCCAGGATGCCGTCTGGCGCTTCCACGCCGTAGCCGCCGGCTTCGTGCGCCCCGCGGGCGCGGTGGCGGCGCCAGCGGGGCCGCCGCCGTTGGACCAGGCGGCGCGCGGGGATCCTTTGGCACCGTGCTCGGCAGTGGCCTTCGCAGACGTCGAAGACCGTATTGAATTACTCCGACGGTAGGACCCCGCATGAGAATCTGTTTAGCTTGCCTGGAGATCTCCTCCTGCCCCCTCCCTTCTCCCACCTCCTGCCTGATCCTGCCTGCTCCTCCTGTCTCAACCCCTGCCTCCTCCTACTCTTGCCTCCTCCACCACCTCCTCCTCCTTTTCCTCCTCCTTGTTATGCCTCCTCCCCCCATTCCCCCTGTTCCTCCTGCCTCCTGCGTCCTCCTCCTCCTGCTTTCCCTCTTCCTCCTTCTCCTCTTCCTCCTTCTCCTCTTCCTCCTCCCCTCTCCCACCTCCTCCTCTTCCTCCTTCCTCCTTCGCCTACTCCTCCTCGTCTTCATCTTCCTCCCCCTCCTCCTCTCCCTCCTCCTCCTGCCTCCTCCTAGGCCTCCTGCCTCCTCCTGGGGCCTCTTGGGGCCTCCTGGAGCCTTCTGGACCTCCCGGGACATCCTGGGGCCTCCTAAGGTACTCCTCTTCCTCCTTGTCCTCCTCGTTCTTCTCGCCCTCTGCCTCCTCCTCCTCTTTCTCGTCCTGCATCCTCCTTCCTCCTTCGTCCTCTTCCTCCTCCTCCTCTTCCTCCTCTGTTCGTACGGGACACGACCCAGAGGAAGCGCATGAAGTGTGTCCCAAGAGGAAGCGCGCGATGGAGGACGTCCTAGAGGACGACCCGGAGGAAGCACGGGAGGTGCGGGCCCCATAGGGAGGGAGTTCCCGCCTGAGATTTCCTCGCAATTCACTCACAAACGAGGCTCCCGCCTGATACTTCCCCCATGTGCGTCGACAGTTCAGTCACAGGATTCCGATGACCCGCTCCGGATAATCTAAAAACATGAGTTGCGGGCCCCATGGGGAGGGGTCTCCCGCCTTACATTTCTTCGCAATTCAGGCAGGTTCTCGCTTGATACTTCCTCAATAGTTTGGCCAAAGGAGCCCAACAGTGACGACAGTTACACGGATGAGGATGACCTGCTCGGATTACCAACATGAAGTGCGGGCCCCATAGGGAGGGGGCTCCCGCCTGAGACTTCCTCAAAAACATGCTCTGCGGGCCCCATAAGGAGGGGGCTCCCGCCTGAGACTTCCTCGCAGTTCACTCAGAGACGAAGCTCCCGCCTGATTTTTCCCGCATATTCAAGTTTCAAGAGCCCAGAAGTTACGACAGTTACACGGATGAGGACGACCCGCTCGGGTTACCAACATGAAGTGCGGGCCCCATAGGGAGGGGGCTCCCGCCTGAGACTTCCTCACAGTGCAGTCACAAACGAGGCTCCCGCCTGATCTTTCCTCCATATTCAGGCCTGAGGAGTTCCTGCGCGGAGCGTCCTGGGCAAATGATGCTGAGTGCTGTGAGAGAGAGAGAGAGAGAGAGAGAGAGAGAGAGAGAGAGAGAGAGACAGAGAGAGACAGAGAGAGAGAGAGAGAAAGAGAGTGTGTGTGTGTAATGCGCGACTGAGTATGATGATGATGGCTGCGGTGGTGATGATGATGATCGATGGCCGATGGTGATGGTCATCGATGGTGAGCGGCTGAGTACGATGATATGGTGGTGGTGATGATGATGATCGATGGTGATGATGACCGATGACGGGGTGAATGCGTGAGTGAGGCGGAGACTGGGAAGGAGGTGAGGTTCCTGCGCGGAGGGTGTCCAGAGAAAACGAGAACCCATTTTTTGGATGTGGGGAACAAATCTGGACATCGGATCTGTGGGCACCGCTACAATTCTGTTGTTTTCGCCCTTCAGGCCCCCTGGGAGGCCCTCGTCGCGACGGCTGGACAGGCTTCGAAATTCTGGCCAGATCGCACCCCAGGAAGGGTCCGCGGAGTAGCGGTGTCGGTATCGTTGCCCTCCCGTGTGGAGGGCAGGAGGGGGAGAGGCTGAGAAGGGGAGATGGGAAAGGGGAGGGGGAAGAATCGCCAGCGGGGAGGGGAGGCCTTGAGATCCGACGTTGCGAACAAGTTGAAGCTCCGCAGACTTGCAGCATCGCGAAGAATTGCCCTTATCTTCCCACGACACTTTTCGAGCCGTGTCGATCCGTGCGGGTCCCAGGGCCCGAAACTGGGAGGGCCTTTTTTTGGGCCTCCAGGCGGCCTCCTCGTCGGCACTGGCCGGATCCGCCTCGGACTTCTTGACGGTTCGCGTATCCCCCCAGCCCATCCAGCAATGGTGCCCAGTCGAGTTGCATTGATCAGGACAGTCCGCAGACAAACGAATTGGTTAAGCATGCATTTTCGGATGTCCGCGCGGGTTTCTTGGATCGGTACTGGCCCGCCCCTCCTGGCGCGCCGAGCGCGCCAGAGGCGGCGCCTGACGCGCCGCCAGGAGGGGGGGGTCCAGCGCAGGTCCAAGGAATCCGCGGCGGACCCCCCCCAAGTTTATGGTTGCCGTTCTTACATCCTCTAGTCAACCATAATTGCCGATATGGGAGCTTCTTGGCAGCTTACCTGGGCCATTTTGTGACCCTGTTGGTGGGCCACTTCGGATGTCTTTGGGTTGTGAGGGCCCTCTTGGGACTCCTTGGGGTCCTCTTAGGGGCCCTGGAGACCGGCCTCTCTGGGCGATCGACATCCATCACATAATGGGGGTTCTCAATCAGGGTTGGCCCTCTTGAGCCCCAAAAGCCGCCTCTTTGGGCGCTCTTGGGCACCCTTGGGTCCGTATTGGAGCTCTCTTGGGGGTCTCTCTTGGGGCGCCCTTGGGCCATAGCCATCTTGAGGCCTCAGGCGGTTATTTAGTTCGAAACGGTGAGCAAGCCTAAATCCTTTAGTTTCCTATGGCATTGGAACCATTCTGGCCTCTTCTGAGCATCCTTGGGCGGCTCCGTGGACACTCGGGGCCGTCTGGGGGGTGTCTCGGGACCTCTTGGAGGCATAGTGGTGGCCATCTTGAGCCATCTCGGGGTATATTGAGCCATCTTGGGTAATCTTGGGCTCTTCATGGCCATCTTGGGGCCATCATGGCCCAACATCCTCCCAAGGATGCCCCCCAGGTGCTGCCACCTTTGAAATTACGCTACGGAGGAACTCCACATGCTTAATTCAAGTCTCATGTGTTTGCTTATCATCATCATCATTCATGCGCAATCCTGCGTTCTGAACCCTCGTCGGGAACGCTTCCCTATTAGTCATCCAACACATCATTGCTTGAACCTCTTGCCACGCCAGTTACGCCCTGGGCGAAAGGCCCGCATAGCGTCGGCGCTCAGGGACCACCCCCTGCGCACCGGCTCTGGTGTCGAGAAAGTGCCACGCCTGCTACGAGAGGCGCGCACAGCGGCCGATTTCAGGGACCACCCCCTGCGCACTCCCACCACCCCCTGCTCACCCCCTCTGGTGTTGAGAGAAAGTGTCACGCCTGCGGTGCCTGGACGAGAGGCGCGCGTAGCGGCCGCGGTGAGACACCACCCCCTGCGCACCCCCTCTGGTGCCGAGAAAGTGCCACGCCTGCGGTGCCTGGACGAGAGGCGCGCGTAGCGGCCGCGGTGAGAGACCACCTACTGCGCACCCCCTCTGGTGTATTCCTTTCCGGGTTCGTGGGTCAATCATGTTCGTGTCCATGCCACCCAGGGGGGTAACTAGCATGCTGGTCCCGAGCTGGAATCATGTGTTTTCACACGTCCAGGCCACCCAGGGGGATATCTAGCATGGTGGCCCCGGGCTGGAACCACGTGTTTTCACGTGGCCAGGCCACGCAGATGGTATCTAAGATTGTTGCCGCGAGCTGGAGCTATGTGTTTTACGTGCGCGGGCCACCCACGGGGGGGGGTATCTAACATGTTGTTGTCTGGGTCCCGCCAGCGTTGGGGCCCTCAAGGGCCAGACAAAATCCAAGGAGCAACATCAGATGTGTCATGACTTGACATGTTCCTCGGCGGGTGATTTTCCAGATTCCCCTCCTGGGGTATCGAAAATGGTGGTCCCGAGCTGGAACCATGTGTTTTCACATGTCCAGGTCACCCAGGGTGGTCCCGAGCTGGAACCACGTGTTCCACGTGTCTAGGCCACCCACGGGGATATCTGACAAGGTGGTCCCGAGCTGGAACCATGTTTTCACGTGCCCAGGCCATCCGGGGGGATATCTGACATAGTGGTCGCGAGCTGGAGCCTCGAGTTTTACGTGTCCACGCCACCCAGGGGGATAACTAACATGCTGGTCCCCAGCTGGAACCATGTGTATCTGACGGGCCCAGGCCACCCAGGGGGATTTCTAACATGGTGGTCTCGAGCTAGAACCACGTGTTTCACGTGTCCAGGCCATCCAGGGGGGTATCTAATGTGGTGGTCCCGAGATGGAACCGCGTGTTTTCCCAGAAAGGGCGTAAGCTCAGGGTTTGAAAGAGCGTGGGTCCAGGGTTCCTTTTTAGTTTGTCAAGTTGTCCCCGGTGCCAAGTTCCAGACGGGCCAGCGGATTAATGTGTGATCAAGAACGAGGTCGCGTAAGGCCAACGGATTCGAGTTTGAGGATGCCCCGAGCGAGATGCTGCTTTTTCTGGAGAGGGCGCGGGCCCAGGGTTTGTCTTTGGTTTTGAACTGTCCACCGTGTCAAGTTCGCGTAGGGCCAGCGGGTCAATGTGCGATAAATAAGTGGGTCGCGTAGGGCCGGCGGATCAGAGGATGTCCCAAGCGAAACGCTGGTTTTGAAATTCCGATAGATAAGCACGGGGTACAGCATACATTTTCGTTTGTTACGGATGTCTCAAGCGAAACGCTCGTTTGGCAGAATTTGTGCAGAATATCTCCAGCGAGACGCTTGTTTTGTCTTTCTGGGTTTCTGGGGGCCAGAGTTCAGAGGATGTCTCGGGCGAGATGTTTTTTTCCACGTGCCCAGGTAGCTCAGGGGTATCTAACATGGTTGCCCCAAGATGGAACTACGTGTTTTCACGTGTCCAGGCCACTCAGGGGGGTATCTAAGCTAAAATGGTGATCCCGAGC